GTTTTTGAAACACCAGCCCATATGGCACCGACAACCATGCCACATTCAGTTTCATTTAAATCCCCTTTCTTCCCCATTCTGATGCTCGGTTTAAATTTCAGCAATTCATCTTCACTACGTCTAGATGCCTAAATGCATTGAGTTGCTACCGTTGATTAGCTGATTAGCTATTTGTGTTACCAAGCAATTTAACAGGAGTACCCAATAAAGAGGCTGGTGAGTGTATGTTTTATGCCTCTCTAAGGCAGTGCAGAGCTATTAGTTTAATACTGTATTTGATGATGCTGAGGGACTGCCTACAGCCAGGAATTTTGGGTAGAAGAGAGCAGGGCTGGAGCCTGCTGAACCAAAGGATAGGTTAAGTAATTCACCTGAACCTACAGATTAAACAGGCTTTTTAAAGTATGGGTTTATTGAAAAAAAAATGTTTTACTCCTCTATGTGGGTACAACATCGATCTAATGCTGCAACTGTCCCTCGCCGGCTCTGCTCTGAGAACTGAGCGATCAAACACCGCTGATCACTCAGTTCTCCCATCCACTCTGAGCAGAGAGCTGTGATTGTCAGTCTCCGGCTCTCTGCTCTTCCACTCCAGTTTTCAGTGGTGCACCGAGCTGTGGAGGCGCAGGTACAGTGGCTCAGTCTGAGAGGCTGATCCAGCTGCTGGTAAAGACTTCTGGGTGGATCTCGACCATATAGTTGGGATCTTTGCCCAGCTTGGGCCGACTCTGTGAGCCAATGGCTCCTGTTGCTGTCTCAGTCAATGAGGAAAGAGCATCCCGGAGAGCCGAGGCTCTTGTACACATCGCTGGATCGCGATGGGGCTCAGGTAAGTATCATAGAATGCATGAAAGTAAAAAACCTTGAGCCTTTACGACCACTTTAATCCAGTGAGCTTCTATATTCATCGCTACCTATGCAGCACTGTTATCCCAAGTAGTGTGTTGTCACCCTCCCTTAGTACTGTCCTATTGGACTACAGAGAACACTTCTCCCGTTTCTCATTTTTGTTTCCATTACAAATGGGGAAGGTGGTACTCAGACTGAAAAAAAAAAAAAAGAAAAAACTACTCTACACAAAACTAAAAAGAAAAGCCTTCAGATATACTTTTAGCAGGTCCTGGAAAGGGAACGTAACCTACAGAGCTTCAGTATTTGTTCTTGTCAGTAAATAATGTTAAGTTAGTGATGGGTAAATGCCATTCTTTTAACAAGATGAACAGTGAAAGTAAATAAAATGGATGAGCTGAGTTTTCCTCCCTAGTGGTTGGTTGTTTTCCATTACTGTTGTTGCTCAGGTCTCTATAAAATCACACATCGCGGTCTAGATCATGTAATTATACCGTTCGGTGACCAGAGGGTAGTAAAATAATGATTTTGCAATCTGCATGGCACTCCTCTCACTTCAAAGAAGCAGCAGAACTACTCATTTTCGTCTCTTCTACATAATGACAAATATTCTTTCCTCACGTTCCATACCCTTCAATTGAACTCAGTGCTTTACTAACATTGCAGTGGTGTTACTTGTTAGGAGGGAGTCGTGTTCACATCCTGTAAGATTTTATTTCTCTGTACGCATATAAAATGGCCATAGCTACCATTAAAATCAAGATTTCTATTAGCAAAGCTTTGATGACACTTTAAAAACAAATGTTAAATTGCAATAAAGAAAACACTAGGAATCTTTCTTCAAGCAGACATTAAATGTTTGGCCAGTGTGAGGAGGCCTCCTGGAACTGAAGATGGGGTTTTAGGGTTCCCTTCTTTGTGCAATGGCTAATTTTGCTATGCATGTTTAAAGGGGCCACCAGACCACTGGGAATAGTAGTTGTTTACTGGTGCTCTATCAATCCTATTTCCCTTGGGGTATCCCAAATATAAGTTATTTGCTTTCTTGTTCACAGCGTGATCTAAGCATGTGCTCTATGATGTATACGCCTCTGTACATCTCCTTATGAAGCAGATTGTCAGATCTAGAAAATATGTTGCGTTTACCCATTTCTGCTGCATCCCTGCATGAATTTGTTTCTGTTGACGGAGGATATGCCACCTGCTATTTCTACTTTATATGGTTGTAATTTCCCTTTATCATCTATGATGGTTATCCTGTAATAGGAGTAGCTGAGCAGTAGGTGTTTCAGGGTAGATAAGGAAGTATCCTATACTTTTGTATATCATCTATATCATATCAATTGAACCAAATAGTCTGATTGTTTTATGTGATTTTATCTTTGTAGAAATAAAGAAATGTAGTCAGTCTATGTGGTAGCCAGTAGATCCTGCTGTCAGAATACATAGTCTCGGCATGGTTGCTGGAATTCCTCCATCTACACTAACTAGTTGGATGGAGGAATTCCATCCCCCATGCCAAGACATCTTGAATCCCGTTGGATGAACGAAAAAATTAGCATGGGCAGCTTAAATCATGGAAAAGGCTATGTTACATTGTACCTTTACAACTAAGTTAGAAATGTATTAAACACTTTGGGTATGCCTAAGCAGATCAGGGCCCTTGAACAAGCTTGTATGGATCAATTTGGCCACTCACAGATTGTAGCTGGTCCATGGGACTATCCCGCAGACCATAATAAAAGCTGCATGCATGACCACATTGACCATGTACCTTGTATTTGGTAGAGAGCAGCATTAGGTCAACCAAAATGTTAGATTCTTGCAGCTGTTACATAAATTTTCTGCAATTCCATTTGCAATCTTGAATGTTCGCGTCATTATATATTTCCTCTGAAAAGAGTTTGCATTTTGCAACAACTGTACCATCTAGCATGTGCAGTAGATATTAGGCAGTTGTGGATCTCCACCATTTGAGCAGCATGAACCACAATGCATTACGTTATTGAGTAAGATGGCACAAAGTCAAGAAATAGTATGCCAGCCCCAAATTTATCTATCAATAAGAAATAGGCTATTGATCTAATGTTCAGATCGAGCTGCACCAGGAATAGGATTGTAACCATGATAGCTGGCTACCTTTTGCCAGTCTGAACACTCTCCACTGATTGGTCAGGTGTGTTGCTGGTCGACAACATGCACGCAGGTTATTAATAAATAGATTGGTGAAGAGGACATGTTGGTTCTTAGTATGCAGATGTATGGGCATACTGTGTTACATCGCTTCAGACATTAGTCTTGGGGAGTATGCTGCTGGCCTCCATGAGCCAAAATGTGCCCATTCTCCGTAAGGTGGGATCAGAAAGATTAATGACATACAAGAGTTTATCCACAATGTGAAGTATTAAAATATAATATAAGGGGGTCTTTAAAAATGTATACCTCCTGTAAAAGAAAACTGCCATCTTTAATATATAGCCTCTGTACTATATACATAACTACTGTTAACTACTACAGATTAGAAGATTCTTCTTTTGTGCATGCCAAACAGTACAGTCTGTAGCTCAAATAATGAGGTAAAATCCGTTAACCAGTCTCTGCAGATTCAGAAATGAAAAGTAAAGTACAATACCATTCTGTATATGTAGTGCAAAATATGGCTTCCCCATGCAAATCTGTAATTACAAAATCTACATAAGAGCAATGGTTTTGCACAGAAAAGCCCTGATCTTCCTCTTCTCGGGTTCCCCGCTGGAGCTCCTGGCCCCTCTCCCCTCCCCCCTTCCCGAGTGCCCTCAAAGCAAGCTACTTGTTCTGGGGGCACTTGTGCATGCTAGTTTACAAGCCTCCTCTGTGTGCCTATTAGACACACTGAGCGCAGCTCGGCCCCACTCCCTCCACACTGGCTGTGATTGTGCCAGTGGCTCCCTCTGCTGTGTCTCAGCCAATGAGGAGGGAGAGAATCAGGAGAGCTGGTGCTCTTGTGCAGAGCACTGGATCATGACGGGCTCTGGTGAGTATAGGGGGTATGGGGGTTAGGGGGCACCTGAACACTGAAGGTGAATGCTTGAAGGCTAAAAAAGACCTTTAGCCTTTACAGCCACTTTACCTGTTCACACTGATGTGGAATTTGCAGCGTTTTCAGTGCCAATTCCACACCGCATCAGAATCTCACCCTGTTAATGCGAACTGCTGTGGGTTTGTTTGTTAAGTTAACAACATCCCAAAAGTGGTCCGGAAAACGCAGTGCGATGTGCAGAATCAGATGGCATAGGTGTGAATAGCTATGCGATCCAATTCTAGTGTGGACCCAAAAAAGGGTCCTGTATGTTTTTTGGTGCGGTGAGAATAGAGCCATACAAAATGTATGGCTCCAATCGCACCGCACACAAATTGCATGTGATTTGCACAGGAATGCGGTGCAGTTCCTGTGTGAATCACATGTGATATACCGCACCGCCCATGTGAACCCAGGCTTAAAGGTGCATGTTTACTATATAATTGTAGACCTTGTCCTACACAGGCATATTTTGATTTCTGATATGTTTCTAATATCCTTCCTATAAAGGGACATTACCTGGGGTTTAAGAAAAGAAAAGGAAAGCCGCTACAAATACTGTAGCTGCTAACTTTTAACAAACAGGTATTTCGCAGCCCAGGAGTCCAACACTATCTTCCCCCGAGCCGATTCTTCAACAGGCTTTGGATCTCCACTGCTACCGTTCTGGACATAAGCGTCAGCTGTGACTTCCTGATGTCTCACAACCATCTGCCCATTGTGCATGCACAAAATAGTGGGTTGCTGTGAAACTGGTCCTGCAGCCTCCTGGAATATTTTACATGTCTCAGAAGGCTGTGGGTAAGGGATGAGAGAGCCAAACCGACATCATCTCACTTAGGGAAGAATTGTGGGAGAGGGTACTTGTCAAAATAAAAGTTCCTACTCCCTGAGAGAAAAAAATTTTTGATAATGAAATGCGTTAGGGGCTTGAAATGGGAAACTGGGGTGTCAGTTTTGGGTGAAGGTCTGCTTTAATGCTTTACACTTTTTTACACTGCTGTTCTGCTTCGATCATGTTGGTGTTCAGATTGCTTGTTGAACATGAAAGTTGAATTTGTCAGTCTGATTAATTAATGTTATTTTTTTTTCTTAGTTGACTTCAAACCTCATGCCAATATGGATACTGCACATCACATGCTTCTGTTTGGATGTGGTTCACCCTCTTCTACTGAAGAATACTGGTATGTGTGTCCTTATGTTATACTCTTTTATTTAGAATGTTTAAAGTGGTTCTAAAGGCTGAAGATAAAAAACCACCTGTGTGCAGGTGGTCTACGATGTCTACGAGAGCCTCGGCTCTCCGGGGACTCTCACTCCTGATTAGGTAAGGCAGCAGTGGGAGCCACTGCTGTGTATGTGAATGGACATGCAGAGCTGCAGCTCGGGCGTGCATCTGCTTGGGTGCCCCCAGGGTAAGCTGCTTGTTCTGGGGGCACTCAGAAGGAGGGAAGGGCCAGGAAAGAAGAGGATTGGGACTTCTCTGTGCAAGATCACTGCACAGAGGATTGGGGCTCCTCTGTGCAAAATCACTGCACAGAGCAGGTAAGTATGACATTTTTTTTTTTATTTAAAAACAAACAAACAAGACTTTAATGTCACTTTAATGTAAAACAGCAAAGAGAAATTATAGGATTCAATAAGAGTACTCTAAAGACAAGTCTCTACACATGATATGATGAACAGGAAGACCTGGACCAAAGAAAAAAGTGTTAATACACAGACTTGGCTAACCCCACATAGCATCAGAAATGTATTGTGCATATGCAGTTGAACCCCAGATGGAATAGATCAAGCTAGGTAGTAGCCTTTAGATAAAAATAGGGAGAATAGCATAGCTAAGCCATGGTGTTGGTTAGTGGGTATGAGACTATGAGAGAAGACATGGATGTTGTCTAGTGGGTATGAGGCTATGAGAGAAGACATGGATGTTGTCTAGTGGGTATGAGGCTATGAGAGAAGACATGGATGCTGTCTAGTGGGTATGAGGCTATGAGAGAAGACATGGATGTTGTCTAGTGGGTATGAGACTATGAGAGAAGACATGGATGTTGTCTAGTGGGTATGAGGCTATGAGAGAAGACATGGATGTTGTCTAGTGGGTGAGGGTGGATGCTGTCTGTGGGTATGAGGCTATGAGAGAAGACATGGATGTTGTCTAGTGGGTATGAGACTATGAGAGAAGACATGGATGTTGTCTAGTGGGTATGAGGCTATGAGAGAAGACATGGATGTTGTCTAGTGGGTATGAGGCTATGAGAGAAGACATGGATGTTGCCTAGTGGGTATGAGGCTATGAGAGAAGACATGGATGTTGTCTAGTGGGTATGAGGCTATGAGAGAAGACACGGATGTTGTCGGGAGAAGAGAAGTAAAATTGTTAAGAGAAGAAAAAAAGTGTGTGTGAAGATAGGACAGAAAGTAAGAGTAAAAATTGGTGTGAAAAGAACAGAATGGCCTACTGCTCTCGGTGTGTCAACCACTGCAATTCATGGCAAGAGCAGTTACTTCTGAGTCTGAGGATGTAATCTTCTTTGTAGTCAAGGAAAACTTCATAGAAGATCCACTTGAGCCAGAGGGACTTATAAAGTTCCTGCATATTTCTGCTAAAGAGAACTCTGACCTTTTAGCAATTCAAACAAAGTTTTTATTGAAGGTGCTGGATTCTTTTGGTTTACTTTTATTTTTCAATGTTTTTTTAGTAAAGGAGTTTAGCGTTAATTGTATGAAAAAAAAATGATTGCATACTATAATTGGAAAGGAGGTGTGGTATAGATTGTGGTATTTGAAACCAAATTCTTGCCTTTTATTACCAATTGATTAAGAAGTTTATAATAGAATGTTTTCTTTCAGTGGTGTAAGGTGAAGGTCGTACCAATATCACAGCCCTATTTTGCTTGGACTGAGGTGTGAGAGGATGTTTTTCCGATGGAGAGCAAGTGCAGCCAGAAGATTAGATGCCTATAAAAGGCACGCTATCTAAATGCGTTCTGTGGTGGTATCAAGGCACATGCCAGATTGGGCTTTGCAGTTAGTAAATGCCTTATTTGGAAAAATAGGGGATCCTTGCTACCTCTCTGAACAATGATCTACAGTGGATCGTTTTTCAGAGGGCATTGACAGGAGGTAAGAAGGCAACATATTGCCTCCTCACTGTCTGTTTTTAGTTTTTTGTTTTTTCCCCTGCCTCTAAATTCTCCTGCAACTAAATGCCCCTAAACGTTTGTTGGCATGGACACATAGACTAACATGCTGGGGAGTTTAGAGGAAAAAAAAAAAAAGCCAGATGCCCCTAGAAGCAGATGTAAAAATGTCCTGTGTGCATGAGGCCTTCTAGTTGGAACAGCAATGATTTCCTTTTCCAGCCCACATACGTTGTGTGCACAGTTTTTAGGCAAGTTGTATTTTTGAGGATTAATTTCATTATCGAGCAACTACAGTACTCTCAGTCAATCCAATATGTTAATTATCCTAAAACCTGCATTTTTAAAGTGTTGCTAAACCCACAACAGTAAAATCAGTCTGTGTATGCAGTAAAGCATGCTTGTTATACTCACTATGGAACCTAAGGGGTTAATCCTCTGCATTGTGTAAAAAGGCCGTTTTATCATGACTTTTCTGCTCCTCCTCTTGTTCAAATGTCCACTGTCCACTGAATTATCTCCTGATAATTCAGACTGAACTGTATCCATTCTGCACATGCTCAGTTTAGTGTGTATTGCTAGAGAGGTTTTTTTTTTTTTTCTTGGGAGAGTGCATGTGATCAGCACTCACCAATCAGGTCAGGGGTTTTGTATCCTCCTAGAGCAGAAAGAAAACTCCTCCTACAAGCTTTACCCAATGCTCTGCTGGATTCAGAAGTCACAAAACTGATGATGAGAAAAGGGGAACCCTACCCCAAAGCACCTCCCCATGTTGAGGGCATGTGGCCTGATATGTTTCGGCTAGCTCACACCCCCCCCCTTCCTGACCTGCCAGGCTGTATGCTTAGATAAGGGTCTGGTATGGATTTTAGGGGGACCCCCACACTTTTTTTTTTTTTGCCGGCATTCTTTTATTTACATTCAACTGTCAGTGGTTTCCCCACTAACAGCTGATAAATGATCAATTGTTAAGGACACGGCAGCCGGCTTATCAGCCCACTTTTTAGCAACCAGCCATTTTTTACACAGAATTCGAATTCCATTTGTTCTGAAAATTAGGATTGCATTAGAAATTCAATAAATAAAACAAAATTTAATAAAATGATATTTTCCAATTGGTCAAAAAAGTGTCTGATCCAAATGACATCAATATAAATGAGGATCTGACTTGGAGGCGACTTCCATTAAAGTCTATGGGCAAAAGTTGGATATAAGTCACCTTGAAGTAGTAAAGGAACCTTTTAAAAAGTTGGAGCGACTTCAGTAGTGCTTATTAGGACAGCTTTCATTGACTAACATGGGATTTCACATGTCATTCGACTTGAGGTCTCACAAGTCGGATCCCAAGTCGTGGCAGCGTGAACCGAGCCTTAAAGTTAGAATAATAAACAACTCAAAATTTACAAATAAACATTTCTGACATTTAATAAAATAAAAATAAAATCAGTGACCAATATAGCCACCCTTCTTTTCAATAACAGTCATAAGCCTTCCATTCATGGATCAATATAATAAATCATTAAAATAAGTGCATAAATTATTCGTGTTTCCCCTTAATAATAAACAAAAACACCCAAAAGTCCATGTGCTGAAGACATAATTAAATTGTAGAAGTAAAAAAATAAAAAAATGAAAGTGCCAACTTCTTTTCTTCAAAAAATATTTTCACCTTTGCACACACCAACATTGAATACACTCACCAGAACTTGGTGAGTAAAAGACCTTTTAAGGAATTTTAGGGATCCTAAACCCTCTTTGGTGCCACGCTAGGGAAAATCTTCACCCTCCGAATAGACTCCACCATCCAACCAAAAGAAAAAAACTCACATAGCATAATATTGTCACACCATAGTAACTTATTCCAAATAGAGATTAAGGCCACTCACATGTTAATCACTTGCTAAAGGCATGTTTATTATGTAAAACAGGCTTCAGTTCCAGCAGATATACAACCTTTTCCTTCCAGGACTCTCACATCCACAATGGAACAAGGACAAAACTCCTCTTAGACCAAACAATGAACCAAGATGGCCGCTGGAACGCACCGCTCCGCGTGCGTTCCACTCACCGGAAATGACGTCAGGCGCATAGAGTGTGGACCGGAAATGCGTCAACGCGTTTCGCCCCTCCCATAGGGCGTTATCAAGACCTTGATAACGCCCTATGGGAGGGGCGAAACGCGTTGACGCATTTCCGGTCCACACTCTATGCGCCTGACGTCATTTCCGGTGAGTGAAACGCACGCGGAGCGGTGCGTTCCAGCGGCCATCTTGGTTCATTGTTTGGTCTAAGAGGAGTTTTGTCCTTGTTCCATTGTGGATGTGAGAGTCCTGGAAGGAAAAGGTTGTATATCTGCTGGAACTGAAGCCTGTTTTACATAATAAACATGCCTTTAGCAAGTGATTAACATGTGAGTGGCCTTAATCTCTATTTGGAATAAGTTACTATGGTGTGACAATATTATGCTATGTGAGTTTTTTTCTTTTGGTTGGATGGTGGAGTCTATTCGGAGGGTGAAGATTTTCCCTAGCGTGGCACCAAAGAGGGTTTAGGATCCCTAAAATTCCTTAAAAGGTCTTTTACTCACCAAGTTCTGGTGAGTGTATTCAATGTTGGTGTGTGCACTGGTGGAAGGTGAAAATATTTTTTGAAGAAAAGAAGTTGGCACTTTCATTTTTTATTTTTTTACTTCTACAATTTAATTATGTCTTCAGCACATGGACTTTTGGGTGTTTTGTTTATTATTAAGGGGAAACACGAATAATTTATGCACTTATTTTAATGATTTATTATATTGATTAATTATCTAAATTTGCGCTGTTTATTTATATTTATATTGTTTGTGTTTTCACGATTGGCACAGCAGCATTTTTAGAGTGTTGGAAAGTTTTGGCGCAGGAATAAGTTTTTTTGTTTAAACTTCCATTCATGGAGTCTGTCGGTTTCTTGATCTGTTGACTATCAACTTTTTGTGCAGCAGCAACCACAGCCTCCCATACACTGTTCAGAGAGGAGTACTGTTTTCCTTCACTATAAATCTC